AGCCTGGAAGTGGAAGAGGTGAAGGAGGCGAGCATTCCATTTCTTCACACTGCCTCCTCCACCTCTTGTGGGCCTACTTCAGAAAGAGAGATGGCAGCTCAGTTACCTTGGCCGCCCACATTACCAAGCTGCCATCTCTCCTTCTGGAGCAGGGACCAGGATCCAGAAGAAGTCTTATTTTTCTCTATTTGTTCCTTTTCTTTTGTCTTCCATATATTAACCCTGATATTTACCCAGAAAACTGTGACGTTAATTTTCTTGCACTGATTTTCACTTTATTAAGTTTGTATATTTCTCGGGAAATTTTAAACAAAATAAAAACAAAAATGTAGGGCCTTGGTTACTGGCCACTCTCAGGGAGAGGTTTCTGCTCTAGATATCAATGGTCTAATCGGGTATAGTAATTCCTGTATTTTTACCTTCCTATAAATGCACATTAACTGTGTGAAATAACTAATAAGGTTTTTTTTAAGTTGATAATTAACAAGTGCTTTATATTATATTCTTTATGTTACATATACTGCCATCTTGCCCTTAGTAACAGCTAATTCAACATCACCACCATTTATACTGTAATGCTTAGGGGGTCCAATCAATCATGAATCAAGACGTCATTGTGCTAGGCACTGTACAAAGACAACAAAAAGCCAGCCCCTGCCTGACATGTTGTTTTAATTATTACATACATACTTTAGCAGTTGCTTGATTTTGTAAAACATTAGGCTTATATATAAGTTCTAAAAAGTTAAAATGAGTGTCGGTAAACAGTAGGAATTAACTATGATAAATCATTACAATGAAATGTAGCCATATAAATTTCAATGTGAAACTTACTTTGTGGACTTCACCAAGTGGCAAAAAAGACACTTTTTTTCAATTACGTAAGTTCGACTGATTTTAACTTAACATAAATGGAAAATCCATTAACACTCATGGAGACACAGCTTAACACTTTTATAATCACACTAGCTGTTTGTGTCATAACCTAGGGCTTGTCTACACTTAAAATGCTCCATCAGCTTCTCCTGTAGGCGTAGGTAATCCTGAGAGAAAAATTCTCCCATCGACCTAGTGCTGTCTACACTGGGGGTTAGATTGGTTTAGCTGCATCATTCAAGGGTGTCATTTTTTCACATCCCTGAGCAATGTAGTTATACCTACCTAATTTCCTAGTGTAGACCAGGTCCTAGGCTCCATGCTACACACATGGTAAGGGCGGTTTTTTCAATCATTTTTCAAACTGAACTTAATGAATTGGAAAAAAAAAAAAAGCATCTGTAGGGAGTGGGAAAGGTAGAGGTGTGAAGGTCATGAAGTACATTATTTATGCTTTGTCAATAGTTTCACAATTATATCTAAGTAAGTGGGAAGCAGCTCCACTTCAACATCTAAATAAATATTAAATGTAATAAACCAATTATCATGACCAGATATTTTTTCTCCCTCATGCATGGTCACTCTTCAAAGGAGTGTTAAAATAGGTTAACACGAATAAAAAAGAAAAGATGAACAGTAGGAGTTGATTCTCCTTGTTCCAAGGACAATTCTTTTTTTAAGATGTACAGCAGCTCTATGTCCACAGAAAGCATTATTCACATAATAAAATCAACAAAACCATCACAAGATGGGCAAGGCATCTGGTGAATCAACTTTAAAAATGTATGGAGGAGGAAATATATGGTTTGTATTTGTTTGCCACAACAGGTTCACAGATTCAGTTTAAGACACTGTCTCCACTTCACAGGATTTTCTTCAAGGTTTATCCAACAGGATAGAAGTTAAAGATCAAATCACTGAGGCCAAGAATTGAGTCGACATGCATCAGAAATTACAATCTGTACTGAAAGCGCTCTGAGATAAAGTTGAAGATTAGCAAAATCAGAGTAGGAGGAATAACTACTGAATTACCAGCATCTCCAAAAGCACGGAAAAGGGAAACAATTAAGTCTTAAAACTAAGAGATTACAGAATAGTGAAATTGGCCATGTGGTGTGAGATACTGAATGCATCACAGAGCACAGTCTCTTAAACTTACATAATAGTAACATTCAAGGTCAACAGTGACAAAGTTTCTTAGATTCTACATGGAGAAATAACTATGAAAAATACGGAATGTGAGAGAGACAGACTTTGGCTAAATTGGAGAGGCTGTAAGATCATATTTCTGCACTTTGAAGGGCAAAAATGACATGACATCAACTGCTTGGCGGGGGAAGGACAGGTCAAACAAGTTCTGTTTTCTTTTATACTCTGTTGTTTGTCTACATGGTGTGGCAATACACACTATGAGGGTATGATTTCTAAAGAGTACTAATGAGTTGTGCATTAACTGGTCTGTGTAGACCCTGCTGGTGTGCACTAAAGGTTGCCTAGGGCACTTTAACACACAGCCAAGGATCTCAAAATGCTCTGCAAACATTAATTAAACTTAGCCTCACCCTCATGAGGCTTAGCCACATTTTTCAGATTAGGAAACTGAGGAAGAGTAAGATTAAGTGATTTGGCAAACATCTGTCACAGCTTGAAACAAAAAACAAATCTCCCAATTTTAGTCTTTTGCCTTTGCCACAAATCCATCTTTCCCTCAGATAATCAATTTTTTCACGATGGTGTTCAGGATTTACAGCTGTAATAGTCACCAGAGGGAGTGTGGAGAGCGGAATGAAAAATCTGATTCAGACTCCTCCCTGGGATTAGGAGCCACTACTCCTATGTCCTTTCATTGTTTGATTCTTTAAGCCTTAGCACATTAAAGCATTCAAAACTAGGGTGAAATTTAAAAAAATAAGATGATTTCAAGAGCATATGAGTCAGAAATGGAACTTTCCTTCAAGCTGAAGAAACTTTTATCTTCTTCCTATGCAAAGAGGCTCTTTGGTTTATTCATGTGGCCTCACATCCTGGCCTTGTCATTCCTACAGGATGAACTGAATTAGCCCCTTTGTCCTGAATGATTCTTAAAGTTCTTCCTAACTGCTGGAACAGGAAAGAGAAGCATTCCTTGGATTGGAGCTCAAAATTTTGGCAACAGGTTCTGCAGGTCAAAAAACAATCCCAACATGAAGATTCTGGTATGGATAAAAACTTCTAACAATCATAAGAATTCATAGTTTAACCCCATCAAAGGCTAGCTGGACAATATAGGGGTGGAATTTGTAAGCAAAGCATAATGGGACTCCAAAGCAGATTGCTTTAAGAAAAACTAGTCAAGCTATGTAATAAACAATGGATATGGCTAGTCTGAGATAAGGGGTGTGTACGTGTGTTGGGGCGGGGAGGGGGTGGTTTGTTATTTTGGGTACAGGTCTGTCGCATCTTACACACATTTAACATGCACGATTTCAGCTTTACGCGGTTGGCAAAAACAAAAAAAGAGAGAAAAATTACAATTTTAATACTGTACCTGTAGTGCAGGCGATTCCGCCCGCCATTGAACTCAATGTAATTTTGACTATATGCGGTTTTCGCTTTACGCGCTAACCGCGGAACAGAACCCCCGCGTAAGATGAGACAGACCTGTATATCTTTTGGGAGATGAACCATAGTTCATACACAACCTAAGGGTCGCAAACACCAAACAGCCCCAAACTTGACAGGTGAGAGACCAAAGGACTGTATTCTAGAAAAAAAAAAATTATAGCTTTGACTGTATTTATGGACATTTTCTCAAGTTCTCTGTTAATCCTGTTATGCAGTATTGTATTATAATGAAAAATCCAATAAAAGCCTTTAATTAGAAACATGTAGGAAAACAAATCTTGAAGGATCGGAGTATGGTGGAGAATGATAAGAGAATACAGTAATGATTAATAGTAGCTCTGCTTTCAAGGAAATGACCTACAGGTTTTTTTCTTTGCCAGTAAAAAAAACTAAATTTCTGTTTATTAAAAAGCATTCAGTAATGGTTGCTTTTTTGTTAGTTTGTTTTTGGTGGGGGGGGGGGGGGTGAGAACAGAAGCACTGAAAAGTATATTGTTAGAAAGCACAGTCTACAGCATGTTAAAGCATAAATAAAATTGTGCAAAATGGAACATATAGAGGTTCAAATTATAAATGATAAATATATAATGATATTACATAATGTTTTTGAGACATACCAAAATTTTTTAAACTATTGTTTTTATCCCCTCTGCCATGGCTGTTAAAGGAATCCATTACACTAACTGTGAAAATCACATTTTTATAAACACACACACACACACACACACTTTAATCAATTTGTTACCTTTTTAATAATATAGCAGGTAATATCAAATTGATTACTTTTGCAAAGTATCCTTTAGAACTTATCTCAAGTACCAAAGTATCACTACTTCTTCTATTACCAAGTACTGTGAAGAACCAAGTTAAAATAATCTGTACAATGCAACTTTGACTGTTTCTCACTTTAAAAAAATTAAAATATAACCAAGTGTATAAAATAAACCCAAGTGACACCCCTTGACACTGAAGACCTCTGTCTCCCCTTAAGACAGGAAGTAGAAAAGGTGTAATCTTCTTCTATATTGTCTTAGAGAAACCATTGCTAGGGGGTAAAAGTCATTTATTCTTTATGGCTATTCACTGAAACTGCCAAGCAGGATGACAAATCGTGCCAACTGTGGTGGGTTAGGTGACACAAACTGACATTTCACATAGGCCAGAGAACATCTGTCAAAATATAAAAATTTCTGGCTGTTACCTGCTTGTGGTGAATTTTACTTTATTTGACTTGGCAACCTACAGTTTAAAGGGAAAGCTTGATCTACCATTCTTTGAAGTACACAGTTACCAGAATTATTATTTCAGGTACTTCCTCAGAAGTCAAGTAAATCACATTTTTGAGACAAAAAATTAAGTATCTAATAATCAGAGAAAACAGTTTTTACAACTATATTAGAAGGTTGTCATTATTTAAATACAGGGCTAATTCATCGTACTCTAAAGGTCCCAATTTTACAGATACTAAGCTAAATAATTATTAATATGACCTATATGACGACAATTAAGTTGTCATTTACCGTGTTTCTGATTGGAATCTTCTTTGGTTCTGGTGGCACATCCTGTGGAACAAATTTCACCGGTTCTTTAATCTGCCTCCTTGATCTCTTGGTCCCATCTGGTAAGGTTTCCATGGCAATATCTGCTTCCATGTCACTGCTGCCTGCCTGGTCACACTCTGAACACTGCCTGGAAGTGAAAGATTTTATATGGACAACAGCAACCACAAAGCAGAAATAAAATATTTTGGTAAAAATACAACACAAAAACAAAACAATTCCACAAAAATATAAGGTAATTTTCTCAAAATAACAGATATTCAAATAGCTGCTCTTGCCAGATACATGGCCTATTTTATTTATTTATTCATGTCATTTAAGTCATTTGGGATTTAAGACTCATTGGAAGCACTCTTTCATATTTAGGAAAGATATTTCTTCTACTATTTCACCATTTTTTAATCCTACCCCCATTGATCTTGAATCTATTCATTTTTTTAGCTGCTGCAGCCTCTCATCTCTGCCAATGACACACTATGCGGAATTTGCTCTCTGTAGGCAGCTTTTTACTGACAGACTAGCAAGAAGGGTTTCCTCTGACAATCAATAGACCATTTTAAAGATGGTGGACAATTCAATTCACACTAGATACATTTTTTTTTTAAAGTCTAGAAGACATTAAAAGACAAATGAAGATGTATAGCCAGTGAAATGCATATTAGCAATTTTTTTTTATATTCAGATGAAAAACCCCTTGTTGTATTTCCAAAACAGTATAAATTCATGGTCAGAACTTCAAAACTAAGCAATCACTAATGTATGCTATTAACAAGCTTCATGAAAGAAAATTAACAAAATGTGAAGTCATCTTCATATGTTCTCATATGCAGGACAAAATAATATATGTCATACCAAGATGTTAGGCCATAAATGCAGATGTTAACCTAACATATGGGAATGAAATTTCAGGTTTACGTGTTAATATCAGTGACATCAAATTAATTTTTAAGTCCTTTTTTTATTATAAAATAAATTATTCTATGCATTTTAAGGCAAATCTTACCTAAATCCTACCATCAGCAGCAATTTTTACATTTCCCAAAAACTGTATTTTAAATATTGGTTAATGAAATTATTATAAAATTTCCTGAAATAGTATGCCAACTATTAAATAACAAAATTTAAATTTTAAATTAACATACAAACACTGATAATAATTTAAATGAAGTAGCAGAACTTGTTTCAGCAAGAAATAAAAATGTGTACTTTGTTATTCATTTATAAATATATTTTTATATGGTCTGAAGATAAGGAGGTGTGCTAACTTGCCGCCTATAAAAAACAGAATTTTTGCAACACAATTCCAGATTATAAAAAGTCAAATGAAATTTTCTTAAAAAAAATTAAATATTAAAAGCAAATGTTTAAAAACAAAATTTAACTATGGCATATTTACCATAAATGATCTGGATGCTTTTTTTATCATGAGGAAAGGAAATGTTACAAAGTTGAGCCTAAAATAGGTTTAACAGAAACAGCTATGCTGCTATGAATTTCAATGCAAACAAAGGCATTATTAAGTAATGTAAGCAACTGAAAAACATCAGTGCTATTGTGTTTTGAAAAGAGAATGCTGAACAATAATATATTTAATTTAATTCAAATACCAGTGCTTTTTTAAGTCAACAAAGCTGAATTACAGTAGATATGCCACACATTGTATTAAGACTCACAATGTAAAGAGACTCACATTACTCTTACTAAAACATACTATTAACAAAGGTTCCTGTTTAATTTTTGATTTACACCGGTTCCCGTATTTGGCGCAGAAGAACAGGAGTAGCTGCTCCAATATAAAGCAAACTGCTCTGATATAAAGCAAACACATGTTTTCATCGGCTTGGCGTCTGTGTTTTCTAAAACTGGAAACATCCTGAGCATTAGTCTCAAATCATTTCTGGTCACACCAGAAGACACTCCAACAGACAGCACTGTCTACTTATTAGAGTCAGAAAAAATGTGATCTAATCCTACTTGGATAAAAGCTAACTGTATGAGATAAATTGTATTTCAGTAATACATATGTATTACCAAGGAGTGTAGAAGCACAGACAAAGAAGTCGTCTTTATAAGACAGATTGAAAGAATGATCTAGCAGTTAGGCACTAGCTAGGGACTCAAAAGACGAGGGTTCAATTCCCTGCTCCATCATAGATTTCTTGTGTAACTTTTAGTCTTGCTGGGTTTCAGTTCCCCATTTGTAAAATGGGAATAATATTACTTCTCTTCCTCACAGGGGCACTGTGGGGATAAATACACTAAAGATTGTCAGGCACTCAGATGCTATGGTAACAAGGGCCAAAAAGTACCTTAGATAGATTTATTAGAGACCAATTACCAAAAAAATGAGTCTTGTAACTTTTATATCCGTCAAGAACACCAAAGAGAACCTCTTGTAGTTGAGATTTTACATAAGAAACTTGCAAAAAATTTACAGAGAACATCTGAGCCATCTCTGGAATTGGTGGCACAACTGCCACTGCAGTCAGAACTAGGAAAAATGCAAGTCACCCAACAAAAAAGTAGTGAAAGCATGGTCTGAAAAGTATCAAAGAAAAAAATTCAATGCGATAAAATAGAAGCACAGTAAATTGGCTCTTAAATGCACTTAATTCCCTTGGCAGAAACATGGCCAATATGGCAAGGGAGAATACAGGACAGAGGTGGTCAGTCCAGACAGTTCAAGTGTGCCTGTTGAAGCAAAGAATCAAGAAGTTTGTCCAAGTGAAGGTAAATTACGCTCATTTCTTTGGATTTGTGATATGGAAGCTGTTCCATACCCCTAATCACTTTGTTTGCCATTCTAATGTATCTTTTTGGATATAGAGTAACCAGAACTGCACGCAATATTCTAGATGTAGGCATACCATGGATTTATCTGGTGGCATTATGACATTTTGTTTCTTGTTATCTATCCCTTTCCTAATGGTTCCTAACATTCTGTTATGGTTTGTTTGTTTGTTGTTGTTGTTTTTTTGACTCCTGCTGCATATTTAGCAGATGTTTTCAAAGAACTACTCATGATGACTCCAAGATCTTTTTCTTGAGAGGTAACAGCTAATTTACACCCCATCACTGTATATGTATAAATTTGATTATTTTTTCCAACGTGCATTATTTTTTATCAATATTGACTTTTAGCCACCATTTTGTTGCACAGTCACCCAGTTTTATGAGATCTGTTTGTTACTCTTCGCATTCAGCTTTGGATCTAACTTGAGTAATTTTGTATCATTTGCAAACTTTGTGACCTCACTCTTTACCCCTTTTTCCAGATCATTTATGAACGTGTTTAATAGCACTGGTCCTAGTACAAATTCTTGGGAGGACCCCACTATTTATCTCTCTCTACTGTGAATGCTGACCATTTATTCCTACCCTTTGTTTTCTATTTTTTAACCAGTTACTGTTCAATGAGAGGACCTTCCCTCTTATCCCATGACTGCTTACTGTACTTAAAAGCCTTTGGTCAGGGCCCTTGTCACTTTCTGAAAGTCCAAGTATACTGTACATCCATCCACCTGATCACCCTTGTCCTCGTGCTTGCTGACACTTCAAAGAATTCTAGTAGATTGGTGAGGCATGTGTTCCCTTTACAAAAGCCATATTGACTCTTCCAACATATTGTGCTTATCTGTCTGTCTGATCATTCTGTTCTTTATTATAGTTTCAACCAATTTGCCTGATACTGAAGTTAAGCTTCCCAGCCTGTAATTGCCAGGATTGCCCCAGGAGCCTTCTTTAAAAATCAGCATTACACTAGTTAACTGCCAGTCATCTGGTGGTACGGAGGCTGATTTAAGCAATAGGTTATATACTACAGTCAGTAGTTCTGAAATTTCATATCTGAGTTTCTTCAGAACTCTGGGATGAATACCATCTGGTCCTAGTGACTTATTACTGTTTAATTTATCGATCTGTTCCAAAACCTCCTCAACTGACACCTCAAATCTGAGACAGTTCCTCTGGTTTGTCACCTAAAAAAAAAAAAATGCATAAGGTGTGGGAATCTCCCTCACATCCTCTGCAGTGAAGACAAATGCAAAATAATTCATTTAGCTTCTCCACAACAGCCTTGTCTTCCTGGGTGCTCCTTTAGTTCCTTGATTGTCCAGTGGCCCCAATGATTGTTTGGCAGGCTTCCTGCTTCTCATTTACTTGAAAACAATTTTGCTGGTTTTTTGTCTATTTTATTAATTGTGCTTTGAAGTCTTCTTTGGCCTACCTAATTATACTTTTACACTTGACCTGCCAGAGTTTACGTTCTTTTCTCTTTTCCTCAGACAGATTTGATGTCCTATTTTTGAAGGATGCTTTTTTGCCTCTATTCGCCTCTTTAAGTCTGCTTTTTAGCCATGGTAGCATTTATTTGGTCTTTTTTTTCTAAGGATTATTACTACATTTGACTGTATGCTTTCTTTCATAGATAGCACCACAACCCGAACAGTGTGACCTACTCTTTCTTGTATATTTTGTATCATGTGTGACAGAACTCTTTGTGACACTTTCCTACACTTTGTACCCTGTGTGACACTGTAATAATTTTTCTACGAGGTATCATTTAAAAACTCAATTTGCTGGTCAGTATTGTCCTGGTAAAATGTGTGCCAAATTGTATGTCAACTTATAAGATTCCAGTATATGGTGTTATTAACCCCACAACCCTGTCCAGACAGAAGTTGTCAGTCAGGTCTGTGCTTAACAAAGGAATGTGTGCTTGCCTTAATTTGCATTTAAGCAGTAAACAGAGTCATCAAACAGGAAGGGAAGAAAAACGAAGTTCAAACGGTTGAAAAAACAGAATATCCTTTCACACAGCCTCCTTGGCTCCTGGTTTTCAGCTGGAAATATTTTTCAAGAGGGAGACTGAAATTATAAAAAGGAGGGACAAACACCGCAAGGCACCCCTCTCTCTCTTTCTGTCCATTGCATTCACTGCATCTGAAGAGACAAAGGAAGCAGCCATTGAACTCTGGGGAAGTGGTCCTGACCTAGAGTCTGGTCAGTAAGACTGCTGAAAGCACGTGATGAGAACACTTTGCTTTGAAGCTAATGTAGTTTGTTAAGTTAGACACCAGTAAATGTTTTCTCTTTATTTTTCTTGTAACTATTTCTGACTTTTATGCCTCA